TGTGTGTTTTGAAAAGGACACAATGCATATACCACGTCCACAATCTCTACCTGTGGAAGTCAGGGATAGTGATGGCAGTCCTCAAGGTATGCTCCATTCTTACTCTCTCACTCGCCTTTCCCAAATGATCCCACCACCGTTCACCTCAACTCGACGCAAACCTGGCTTCGATACATTCATTTCTTTTTGTGACGGGGAATAGTCCCTGGTGCCGGCGAAGAATACTGAAAGTCCCACGGACTGCCGAAAGGACAAATCTGCTTTGGAAGAAGGATAGCCAGAGTGCTTTTTAGAAGCAAGGAAGAGGCAAGACCTCGTCTTGCAGACTTCGGACATGCAGTCAGGAGAGACCGGTCCTTGGAGAAGGACATCACGCTTGGTCAAGTGGAGGGGCAGAGAAAGAGACAGACCCTTGAGAGGGACAGACGCAGCGACTGCCCCAATGGGTTCAAACACAGCATAGGACCGAGGGTGAGGATGGGGCAGGGCTGGGCAGTATTAAATCATTTTATTGGGGGCTCATACAACGCGTATCACAATCCATCCTTCCATCGTCTCAAGCACATTTGTACATTTCTTGCCATCATCATTTTCCAAACATTTGCTTTCTAATTGAGCCCTTGGTATCAGCTTCTCATTTTTCCCCTCCCTCAGGAACCCTTGATAGTTTATAAATTATTATTACTTTTTCGTGTCTTACACTGACCAACGTCTCCCTTCACCCACTTTTCTGTTGTCCATTGCCCTGGGAATTGTGATTGGTTTCCCCTTTCTCCCCCCACCTTCCTCTTGCCCTCCTGGTATGGCTACTCTCAATATTGTCCTGGATTCCCGTGTTTCTAGCTCCTATCTGTACCCGTGTACATCCTCTGGTCTAGCCAGATTTGTAAGGTAGAATTGGGGTCATGATAGTGGGGGAGAGGATGCATTAAAGAACTAGAGGAAAGTTGTATGTTTCCTCAGTTGCCAGGGTAGCCTGCCCCTAACACATCATCACAGATCTGGTAGGCGCAATTGTACAGCGATAATAAGTAAAGATTATAGTAAAGTCAGAGAGAGCATGAGAGGTAGAAGAGAGATTGAATTAATGGAGTCAGATACATTTCATGGTAGCATGCTCACCTCAGCCCCGCTCGGTGGTCCACGTGGAGAGAGAGAGAGATTTATTACCAACCAAGGCTTATATATCTTTGGGGGGATGTGCAAGCCCCGTAAATACAGGCGAAGACATACGTCACAGGAAGGGGTTGTGCTATAGGTACTACGGTAATGAGAGGGGGGTGATCTAGGGGTATCCACATAATAGGAAGAGGAGGAATTAAGGGTATACATGTGACAAGATGGGCGGACCCTAGATTCAAGACGTTGGCCTAGCCTTGATTGCCCTAGAGCTGGAGACTTTATTTAGCCTAAACTTTCGGGGGAAGCAATCCACTGTCCCTGACAGCAGGGTGTGAGCCCCACCTACTGTGGGAGAAACAATGGTGTCTGGATGGCTGGAGTCTTCAGGGAGAGGACTTGACAATCATTTACCATTAGTTGCAAGCAGTGTCCTAAGTCTAACATATATTTGGGGGAGACAACTTGGGAGAAATCTTTCTGTTTCCCACACTTGGTGGTACACTGCACCCTGACTGGCTCATCTCCTCCCCGAGACCCTTCTGTAAGGGAATGTCCAATTGCCTACAGATGGGCTTTGGGTCTCCACGTCGCACTCCCCCTCCTTCACAAGTATATTATTTTTTTGTTCTTTGATGCCCGATACCTGATCCCATCGACACCTCATGATCACACAGACTGCTGTGCTTCTTCCATGTGGGCTTTGTTGCTTCTCAGCTAGATGGCCACTTGTTTACCTTCAAACCTTTAAGACCCCAGACGCTATATCTTTTGATAGCCGGGCACCATCAGCTTTCTTCACCACATTTGCTTGTGCACCTGCTTTATCTTGAGCGATCGTGTTGGGAAGGTGAGAATCATGGAATGCCAGGTGAATAGGACAAAGTGTTCTTGCATTGAGGGAGCGCTTGAGTGGAGGCCCAATGTGACTGGACATTGATCTGTTCTGTTGTGCATGGGGTCGCTATGGGCTGGAACTGACTCCATGGCACCTGACGACAACAACAACAACAACATTCCATGGCACGGATGGCCCACACCTTGTTCATCCATCCATCTGCTGACAAACACTTCCGTTGCTTCCACGTTTTTCTTTTAATTAAAAGATCATTTTACTGGGGCTCCTACAACGTTTATAACAACCCATGCATCAGTTGTATCAAGGGTGTTTGTGCATATGTTGCCATCATTCTTTTCTAGACATTTACTTTCTATGGAGCCCTTGGCATCAGCTCCATTCTCCACCCCCACCCCCGCCCCTGCCTTCGTGACCCCTTGATAAATGATAAATGATTATTATTCTCATATCTCACACTGACCGCTGTCTCCCTTCCCCCATGGTTTCTGTTGTTTGTCCCCTTAGAGGCGGGTGTGTGGTTATGTGTCGGTCATGGCGATGGGTTCTCTCTTCCTCCCCTCCTCTTTTCACCTCCCCCCTTGTGTCCACTTTTCTATGGAAAGGGCCGCGGTGAATATGGGAGCGGTGGTTTCTGCTTGAGTTCCTACCCCCACACGCTGGCTGTGTGCCGGGATGGGAGTCGTGGGTGCTGGGTGGCTGTGGAGCCCTAGTGGTGCTGCAGGTGAAGAGGGGGACTGCTAACGGAAAGATCAGTGCTGAGAGCCCTCCAGCCACCCCATGGCAGCAAGATGAGACGGGCTGTCTCCGTGAAGACTGCCAGCCTCTGGGACCCTCGGGGGCCAGTTCCCTCTGTCCTTGGGGTCACTCGGAGATGGGGTCAACTGAGTGGCAGTGAGCCTGCTGGGCGTGTGGTCAGCATGTGTGCTGCCCTGTTTGCCACAGCAGCTGCGGGCCATCATGTGTTCCTGGCGGCTCTGGACCAACTCTTCTCCCAAACAATCGGATGGAGCTGTGGTGGCACCTATTGCCGGGCGGCCTTTTCTCGTTTTTCTTTTTTACAGTTTTCATCTTTACTCATTGAGATGAAAGGCAATAAAACAATATAGATTGCGATAAACGTTCAGAGAGAAATAAAAAGTCTCAGAGAATAATAGGGGAGACACCCTCCCTTTTTGACGTTTTATTGGCACATAATTTACATTGCCCTTCAATACATCAGTCGCGCAATCATATGAAGGAGAACTGTCCAATCAATACCACAGGACTAGAGAACATCCCCCCGCCGCCCAGGGTGGCCTTCCGATGGCGCCCTGTCATCACCTTCAGTCCCCATGCCCCACCCCCCACGTCCCCAGCATCATTTTCTGAGCATCCAAGGAGAAGATCCCTCATCCTGGAATCTCAGTGTCTGAGGGCCGTTGCGTTAACAGTTTCAACAGATGGATGGTTTTTCCAGCCCGCAGCGCTTGCCGCTGCACCCTTCCACCCTCAGTGAGGTTGGCTGGAACGGGGTCTTTGGGACTTTGTCATTTCCTGGTTGTCTTTTAAGAAGGACATCACACCGTCACACGTCCCCTGCCGTTTATAAATGTGCAGGCTCTCAGCCATCTGGATACCCAGCCTTCCAGAACGCCCGAGGGTCTCTATGTCTTGCTTAGCTTGGGGGGCGGGGGTGGGTGTGGGTGGGGGGGGATGGGCAGAGGTTGCCTCCTGTAAGGGTTAGATCACCCTCCTTAGCCCGAGTCCTTCCCCCACTCTTCAGGTGACAACTTTTCACACCCAGCTCTCTCCCTTCCCCACCCTTCTCTTGTTCTTCCCCCTGCCTGCCACCCTCAGGCCTCAGAAACATCAACGGTGGCTCCGAAGCGCAAAGGCCCGGGTCCTTTGCCCTCAGCTGATGGGACGCCAAGTGGAGTGCCCACCAAACATCCAAGCACTGATTTTTCGGGCGGGCTCACCCCCGCGAAGACCTACTCAGGAGCCAGTGGCTTGGGATATGGATCCACAGCAGAGCGGGCTGCCAGCCGGGATCGTGGCAGAGTTCCCTCTCTCATAGGGCCCCACCCACCCTCTACTCCCCACTTGGATCGTCGCCGGAGTCGAGATCAATACCAAAGGAGGGACGAGCGGGATGCAGCCCCTGGTCTGGCCCAGCAGGACCTAGCCTTTCCCACAGAGCAGTTTGGTTTGGGACACCCCTATCAGCAAGGCATGGTGTATGTAAGCCCAGACCTCGGGCAGATTCCGTTAGGGCCACAGGGCATGGGTCAGCCTAGATTGGGGTACCCTAGCCCTTTCCCACAGGGTGTGCTCAGCATGGGCCAGCCAGGGGCACTGCCACCACTCATACCTGGTGCTGTTCAGCAAGGACAGGAACCACCTAGGGCAGAGCAGCTTAATGTGGGACCTCTTGGCACGGACGCATATGGTATGGGCCAGTTTGGCATGGATCAGCGTGGATTCATGACACCTTTTATAGATCAGAGTGGGTTGGTATCATCTGGTTTTGTACAACCTGGCATAGGGCAACATGGCTTGGTGCAGCCTGGGGTAGACCAGAGAGGCTTGGTGCAGCCTGGAATAGACCAGAGTAC